ATATCATGATAAGTTAAATAGAGCAACTTAACGAAATTAATCAGTTAAGTTAACAGTCTGAGCATAGTCAATAGTAATTATTTATATTATTTTCAGTTTGAGCAGGCATCAGCACTATCTTTCAGTTCAGTAGTTCAGGTGGGGACTCAGACTAAGTACTACATTGATTATAATATCGCTACCATGTTTGAGGTATGTATATTCAGTATCCGCTCGGAATGGTTGCCGGTCCATTCTGGGTTCTAGTGGCCCTAGTCTGCCCACTAGAGTGTGCACATGGTGTCCGGCATTGCCGGCAGATGTTCAGTTCAGACGTGACTTATGTCACGACGTGACTTATGTCACGAGATCAGTTATCAGTTACGTGAAATATGTCGCGAGATCAGACCGGTATCAGATATCAGTTTCAGTTCAGTTATATATGCCAGGATCATGATATTGTTATTATTTTCACTGTTTTACATTAGTATGAGTTTCCACGGAGCACAGTGCCTTAGTGCTCAACCCCCAGTTTTATCATGTTTTTCAGGTCAGGATGTCGGGCCGAGAGCGTGACGTGACGTGACGGGACTTTCAGGATATTTATATATTTTGGACTGTATAAATATGATTATGACTTACGCTTCCGCTTATATTTTGATGACTTTTGATGATGTTGATGGTTTTGACGAACTTTTAAGAAACTCATGATTGCAGTAACCGGACGTTTTTATTAAAATTAAAACAACGGTTTTCTAAGTTAAGTCATGATTTATAAAGGTAGCACCCCGAATCAGTTTTCGCAAAGTAAAAGGCTTTATTTTAAATAACTTTGCGAATTTTAGCGCACTCTGATTTTACAGTAAGGAGGGGTGTTACAATTTTTTCCTTTTTGCTCCTATTTACTCTTATTTTCCTCGACTTCTTTATATATATACGATATTGCTTCGAAACGCGATGGTGCGAAAAATATATGTTATTCACATCAAATAATGGTGCTATGTTCAAAAACAAACCTTTTCGGAGAAGTTGATTATTTTTTGTTTTTCCCCTATTTACTCATATTTTCCTCAATTTCTTTAAATGTATACGATTTTGTTTCGAAACGCTATGGTGCGAGAAATATAGGTTATTCACATTAAATAATGGTGCCGTATTCGAAAACAAGCCTTTCTGGAGACGTTGATTATTTTTTCGTTTTTGCCTCTATTTTGCTCGACTTGTTAAAATGTATACGAATTTGCTTCGAAATACGATGGTGTGAGAAATATATGTTATCCACATGAAATAATGGTGTCGTGTTCGAAAACAAGACTTTCCGGAGACGCTGATTATTTTTTTTGTTTTTCCCATATTTACTCTTATTTTCCTCAACTTCTTTAAATGTATACGATTTTGCTTCGAAACGCTATGGTGCGAGAAATATATGTTATTCACATCAAATAATGGTGCCTTGTTCGAAAACAAGCCTTTCCAGAGATGTTGATTATTTTTTCGTTTTTGCCCCTATTTTCTCTTATTGTCCTTGACTTCTTTAAATGTATACAATTTTGTTACGAAATGTGATGGTGCGAGAAATATATGTTATTCA